GGATTGCAGGTTCGATCCCCTGCAGAGTCAGTGGGGGGGGGCAAGTGAGGGAGGCAACCAATCGGTGTGTCTCTCTCACATAGTTGTTTCTCTCTCTCTCTCCCCCTCCCTCCCTTCCACTCTCTCTAAAAATCAATGGGAAAAAATATCCTTGGGTGGAGATTAACAACAACAAAGAAGAATTCCTGCCAAGAGGTGCACCACCTTTTCCTCAAGTCACACTCAGCCCTCTTCCTTACTTCTGTCTCCCACTCCATGACCCCAACTCAAGGTATCTTGCTCCTTTCTCCCCTCCCACACCCCGGGCTCTTCTGCCTCCGTCTGCATGCTTCCCCAGCCTTTACCCAAGTCACACTCTGCGCCCCCAACACTTTAATGGGAGGGCATTCTGATTACATGATGATCAGAAACAGCGAGGAAGAGGATGGGCCGATATGGAAGGTCAGCCTACTCAGACCCAAGGCGCTGGGGGGAAAGAAGGTGTTTATGAACAACGTGTGTAAGGGACCTGGGGAACAGGGGAGGGAGACACTTCAAAACATCTCTCTTTCTTCTTTTCAGCTTCATTCAGCTTCATTAATGAAAATAGTAAGTTCACACAGTCTAAATAAAGCATGACAAGCCCACTGTGTGACCATTTATCAAAATACACATTACAAACATTTAACTAGTGTTCCTGTTCTTCTGATGTAATGATCTGATAGCTGTGCTTTCTTTGGTTTTCGGAATGGAAGCTAATTATTTAGTAAAAACAGATGTACAATAATTTTATGCACTTAGGGATGAGCTGTCTATACTTTCTCAAAAATATCTTTTATTATGAAATATTTCAGGTGAAAAGGAATATTTTAAATTATGTAGAGATTAGTTTTTTTAAAAAACATGTACCCACCATTCAGCTTTGTCAAATTTTAACTTTTGTAAGAAATGTTTTTGAAAAAGAGACCACTACAGAGAGCTGAGGCCTCCTGTGTACTTCTCCCCAGTCTTACGCCTCTCGTTTGGTATTTACCATTTGTATATACCCCTAAACAACAGAAATTATCATTTTGCATGTCTTACTTTACATAAACTGTGTTATTCTGTGTATATATATCCTTCTGACTTTTTTTGTTTAATGTTGGTTTTTGAGATTAATCTTACACATGTAGCTCTACTTGATTTATTTTTAACTGCAATGTCATATTTCATTGTACAAATATATTCAACATGTTTATACATCCCCTATTGATATATAGGGTGTCCTCCAAAAATGTACACACACAGTTTGAGTAATTATAAAGGCAATGTTTATTAAAATATATTTCATTTTCAAAACTGAGCTATCAGCTGTTAGAATATGTATACATTTTGGGGGGACACTCTGTACATTTAGACTATTACCAATTTTTCATACATCAATGCTGCAATATACATTCTTGTATATGTCTCCTTGTGGCCAATATATTTGGATTTATTTCTACTGTTGCATTTTGTGCTTTCTATTTACTCTTTTTTTCTACTCTTTTTCCCTCTCCCTGCCTGAATTTAATAGACTTCCTTTATCCCATTTCCCTGCTCAACTGATTTGAAAGTTATATACTCTATTTGTTATTAGCATTATTCTAGGCTCACATTCTAGGCTTACAGACTGCTAATTGTTCCCCAGTTCTGCTCCCCATCTGTTCTCTTATCTCTCATATAAATAGAACTTCCAACTTAGCAGAGCACATGGTTATCCAAAATAAAACAATACTTTCCAGTCTTCCTTGCAGCTGGGTATAACCAAGTTTTTTCCAGTGAGGTAGGAACAGAAGGAATGAATGCACTCCAGGTCATGCACTTAAAACAAAGGGGTTGGGTGGACATCAGAATGAACCATCTTCAAACATGCAGCCGGTACCACCCTAGAATTAGACTGCTTATGCCTGAGATTCTACCTAAGAAGGAAATAAGCATCTGTCTGGTTTAAGCTACTGTTATTCTGGGTTCTTTCTTATAGCAGCCAAACTACACTCCAGCTAATACAATAGGCATGGATTAAAAAAAAAAAAAAAAAAAAAAAAAACCCCGCTTACACTCATTCTGCTTCCTGAATCTAGGGCTTCATATCTTTCATCAAGTTTGGAAAATTTTAAGCCATTATTTCTTTGAGTAATGGCTCTCCTACACTCTCTTCTCCACTTCTGGAATCTTATATAGGATCTTGTCATTCTAGCAGCCATGTCTAGGCCTGTGTCTTTATCTCTGTGTGCTACATTCTGCATGATTTCCTCAGGCCCATATTTCAGTTCATGAAGTCTGTCTTCAGTGGTGCCTAATCTGGTGTTTAATCTATCTACCCACTGAACATTTATTTTCAGTGAAAACAGTTTTCAATTCTAGCAGTTCTATGGGGTTCTTTTGAAAGTCTACCTGATCCTTTTGGCTGTGTCCTGTTCTTGTCTCAGGTTTTCAATTACTTCATTACGTCTTCAATATTTTGAACTCATTTATTTTAGAGTATCATGCCAAAGCTCTATTATTATTAGTTCTTGGGGGAGGGATATAGTTCAGTTGTTTGTTGTATATGTGGACTCTCATACACTGTACATTATGCTCCCAATATTCAGTCATCTTGAGTCATATATTCATCTTCACTGAGGCTTTTTTTTGGCCTGTAGGGATTCTGTATGACCTGGGTTGAGGTCTTGTTTCTCCAGAGAGGTTCTGTGTCTGTCCCTACAAGGTTTCCCAGGGGTATCTCTGGCCCAGGACTTAGGGTTCCTAATTCACAGACAGTATAAATTCTAATGTTAAACCAATTCATCATCACCAGGTTCTCAGGGAACCTTTTTTCCTTTTCTTCTTTTTCCTCCTAACCCAGAGCCTTATTGGCTAAGTATGAGAAGCTGTTCCGTCATCTGCCTGTGCTGGTGGATGGTTTTCTTTTCTTTTTCTGCCTTTTCATTTAGCGTGAAGCTATTTAGTACTCCTAACTTTATATGAAAGGTTCAATGTCAGGCCCAGCTTTCAAATGGCCAGACCTCATTTCTGCCTCCATAGATGTTAAAACTCATCCCTCAAACCTTTCAAGACTAAAGGGAGACCATCCATGCACCCCGTCCCACTCAGCAGCCTGAACTGAGTACCACTTGGGTTTTCCTCTTTGCCCGCTGAGGATTCCTTTTTTTTCAGTGTGCAGCTCTAAACGGAAGATAGTTTAAATGTCTAACGCAGTATGCCTAGGTGTTTCACAGTGGCCATTTTTAAGGTTATTTCATTGTCCATATTACTAGAAACGAAAGTCTCTTCCCTCCAAGATGTGTTTAACCAGCTGGCTGATCCTTACTTATCCTTGCCTTCCCTTGCATACCTTTTTCAATACCGTAACCCAAGGCAAGGTTCTCAAGCCTTGTAGTGTTGAAACCAATGTCTGGGAGCTTATTAAACATGCAGATTATGAGCAGTACCCGGGGAGACTTGGATCAGGAGGGCTGGGGTGGGGCCCAGGAATGCAAATGCTTAACAAGTACTCCTCCAGGTTTCTGGTACAGGTGGTCCCAGGACCACCCTTTGAGAACCACTGTCTCACTTCTGCTTCCCTTTCCCTGCGGTGGTGGAATTCTACCCTTTCTATTTGCAGTGTCTGAGAACCACATCCGCAGGAACACTGCCAATCTGTTCTGCAAAGCCTGAACGAGGTGGCAATGCCAACAGGCCCAAGGTTCATGAGTTCTAGTCCAGGCTAGTCCAGGGCCACTCCTCTCAGAAGTGGAAATGCAGAGGTGACGCCAACAACTTGTCTTCCTAGACTCCAGGCTATGGGCTTGTCCCTAAAACAGGCATTTATTCAGGCTTTACTCATCAAGACTTTGACATTACTTGGAGAGGGGTGGACTGAATTTTACTTTTATCCTATGAAAGAAGGGTTTGCTAAACAGATAGATGATACAAACAAAACTACAAAGAGAATGGTTGATTCAATTAACATTATATATATTTTTAGTGTAGATCTCTACTCTCTAGAAGGGTTATGCTCCAAAAAGTCAGCCATTTAGAATATATGTTCCCATAGAAACATTATGAATGGTGGTCACTTTCCCACCCAGCCCACCCAAGCCTGTAAAGCTAATAATTGCTCCCATTTAAGACCTATTCTACACCAGAACTTTTATATATGTGATCTGATACAATTCTCAAAATAACTCCAAAAGGTAGACATTTGTGTCCTTGTCTTAGCAGTGAAGGGACTTGCTCAGGGTCACATAGCTAATAAGTGGCTGAGCCAGGTAGGTCTGGCTCTAAAGCCTGTGTCCTTGTCACCAGGAAACCAGGCTGCCTTCCGCAGCTCCTGTGCTTCATAGAGGTTGAGCAGTAGGGTGGAGATTTCCAGTCTTCTCTCCTACAACATCCTTCTTCCCCATGCTGAAGAGATGTTAAGGGAATATTAGAACCTCCCCTGCAGCCAAAGGTGACTCAGGAGGTAACAGAGGACCAAGATGATTTGTGTCACTTCTTTGGTGTGCCATACAGAGCAGCAGAGCAGGAAAGAATGCTGGATGACAGCTTAATAAACTGCTTTGACTTTGGTAAACTACCTTGGGTGGGTTTCATTTTACATGTGTGAAAAGCATCTTACTCAAAGTTCACCTTTCTGCAATGAATAGTAAGTAAACCCTAAGGATCGAATGTACAGTATGGTGAACACAGACCACAGCATTGTACTGTAATCATCAAACTTGCTATGAGACTAGAATGTATTTATTCCAACCACTGAAAATAAATAATTATGTAATGTGATAGAGCTAATTATCACTATGACGGCAACCATATTACGATGCATAAATGTATCAAAGTAACATGTTGAACACCATAAATTTGCACAATGTTATATGTCAAATATATTTCTATTAAAAATAAATAAAATAATCCCCCCCAGAAAGAAAGGTCACCTTCCCCAGCGCTCCCTAACTCTGGCCCTCTCCGACAGGCCTCGGCAGCGAGGTCAGGCAGCTAGCTGCCTGCTCCCCAGAACTCACCTTGTCGGCGAGCAGCTCCCTTATCTTGCTGGCCTGCAGGCGGAACCGGGTAAGCTGGGTCTCTAGGGCCAGGCAGCGTTTCTGCCAGTCCATGCTGGTCCGGGTCTCCACCTTGGGGTCAGCCATGATGGAATCAACTTCTGGTTATTCCAGGGATCCCTGAGAACCAGCACACAGAGAGGAAATGATAAATAAGTGTGGGAGGAAGAGTTACATGGGGAAAGGATGAGAGGAGACCAGAGGAAGACAGAGAAAACAGGGGCTGGGGGAGGTAAGTTAGTCACTGTCCCTCTGTCCCGAGGCCCCCTTTCTTAGTTGTGTGTCACATTCTATCATAAGTTAGCTAAGCAACCTCAGGGGATCACAAAACCCCAGAAACCGTAACGAGAACCTAGGCTCATTTTTACAAAAGTGGAAAGGCAGGGCTCATTTGTTTTTCATTCAATAATTTCACGTAACTAATTTTTATCCATTCAACGAACATTTATGTGCCAGACAGTGTTCTAAGCATTGGAGATGCAAAGATAAATAACAGAGGTCCCTTGTCTTTGAGTTTTTCAAGGAAGTCTAACTGCAAAATTACAGTGCAGTCACAATAACCGATTGATACACAGATAAACAGGACAGGGAAATGGGGCCGNATTACTTGGAGAGGGGTGGACTGAATTTTACTTTTATCCTATGAAAGAAGGGTTTGCTAAACAGATAGATGATACAAACAAAACTACAAAGAGAATGGTTGATTCAATTAACATTATATATATTTTTAGTGTAGATCTCTACTCTCTAGAAGGGTTATGCTCCAAAAAGTCAGCCATTTAGAATATATGTTCCCATAGAAACATTATGAATGGTGGTCACTTTCCCACCCAGCCCACCCAAGCCTGTAAAGCTAATAATTGCTCCCATTTAAGACCTATTCTACACCAGAACTTTTATATATGTGATCTGATACAATTCTCAAAATAACTCCAAAAGGTAGACATTTGTGTCCTTGTCTTAGCAGTGAAGGGACTTGCTCAGGGTCACATAGCTAATAAGTGGCTGAGCCAGGTAGGTCTGGCTCTAAAGCCTGTGTCCTTGTCACCAGGAAACCAGGCTGCCTTCCGCAGCTCCTGTGCTTCATAGAGGTTGAGCAGTAGGGTGGAGATTTCCAGTCTTCTCTCCTACAACATCCTTCTTCCCCATGCTGAAGAGATGTTAAGGGAATATTAGAACCTCCCCTGCAGCCAAAGGTGACTCAGGAGGTAACAGAGGACCAAGATGATTTGTGTCACTTCTTTGGTGTGCCATACAGAGCAGCAGAGCAGGAAAGAATGCTGGATGACAGCTTAATAAACTGCTTTGACTTTGGTAAACTACCTTGGGTGGGTTTCATTTTACATGTGTGAAAAGCATCTTACTCAAAGTTCACCTTTCTGCAATGAATAGTAAGTAAACCCTAAGGATCGAATGTACAGTATGGTGAACACAGACCACAGCATTGTACTGTAATCATCAAACTTGCTATGAGACTAGAATGTATTTATTCCAACCACTGAAAATAAATAATTATGTAATGTGATAGAGCTAATTATCACTATGACGGCAACCATATTACGATGCATAAATGTATCAAAGTAACATGTTGAACACCATAAATTTGCACAATGTTATATGTCAAATATATTTCTATTAAAAATAAATAAAATAATCCCCCCCAGAAAGAAAGGTCACCTTCCCCAGCGCTCCCTAACTCTGGCCCTCTCCGACAGGCCTCGGCAGCGAGGTCAGGCAGCTAGCTGCCTGCTCCCCAGAACTCACCTTGTCGGCGAGCAGCTCCCTTATCTTGCTGGCCTGCAGGCGGAACCGGGTAAGCTGGGTCTCTAGGGCCAGGCAGCGTTTCTGCCAGTCCATGCTGGTCCGGGTCTCCACCTTGGGGTCAGCCATGATGGAATCAACTTCTGGTTATTCCAGGGATCCCTGAGAACCAGCACACAGAGAGGAAATGATAAATAAGTGTGGGAGGAAGAGTTACATGGGGAAAGGATGAGAGGAGACCAGAGGAAGACAGAGAAAACAGGGGCTGGGGGAGGTAAGTTAGTCACTGTCCCTCTGTCCCGAGGCCCCCTTTCTTAGTTGTGTGTCACATTCTATCATAAGTTAGCTAAGCAACCTCAGGGGATCACAAAACCCCAGAAACCGTAACGAGAACCTAGGCTCATTTTTACAAAAGTGGAAAGGCAGGGCTCATTTGTTTTTCATTCAATAATTTCACGTAACTAATTTTTATCCATTCAACGAACATTTATGTGCCAGACAGTGTTCTAAGCATTGGAGATGCAAAGATAAATAACAGAGGTCCCTTGTCTTTGAGTTTTTCAAGGAAGTCTAACTGCAAAATTACAGTGCAGTCACAATAACCGATTGATACACAGATAAACAGGACAGGGAAATGGGGCCG